AAAGCATCGACTAGATCCTTCCACCTTCGGATCTTCGATCCCTCCAACCTCATGTACCAGCTCAAAGCCGAACCTCATAGGCTCTCATGAAAGAAATTGATTAACGACTTTTCATCGTGAACCACTTCGTCATCTTGCTACGATAAACCCTCGAGTGAGTCATGGGACACCGGGTTCCAGTATACTTGAGAAAATCCGGCATCTTGAACTTTTTTGAAATCACTATATCGTGCATCAAACACATTTCGAAGGCCCTAATTGGATCATAGGCATCCTCCCCCTCTACTACTCTTAAGCGTTCTTCTAGTGCCATGAGTATGTCCATACTTGGGCCTTCAACCGTCCTAGGACGATGAGCTTCCTCTTCCGTAGGATCGACCGGAGGCATTTATGAGACTATCGGGTCCATGGGATAAGCGAATGTCCCAAGTAGGATGTGAACCTTCGGCATGAACAGCTGCATGATTGGAAGGCCCCACCGATGAGGTGATGGAACAAAGCATGCGGTACTTTGGGTTATCCTTGATTCAAGCTACCTCCCCCTCTTAATGCTTGCTCTAATAGGGATGTCATCCGAACCACACTCTCTTTTAGCGAGTTAAACTCTTGCCGACTAATTACCTCATATCGTGGTCCTTCTTCATCTTCCATTCGACGAGTCCGAAGTCGAGTGTTGTAGACGCGCGGAGGGGATTGAATGGAGCGGCCTATGTTTACTTCACTCGGAAATACGAAAGAAATATATACAAATAAATACTTAATACAAATACATGATTTTGAACTAGGTTGGATACCTTTTGTTATTTTGTTGTAGATTAAATCATGACGGAATCCTATCGATGATGGGTTAGATCGAGCTAATACTCGCCGAGGGTAAAATTACCCTACGTATACTTGGGCAATTAGGAAGATATGTATGCTCCCAATTTCAGTCGTGACTTGATTTTTGAATGATGAAAACACTCTTATTATAAGCACACGATGGGCGAAACTTTTTTTTCACATTCTCAACACGAAATTCAAGGGTAGACAATCTTCTTCATCATTTCGAGCCCGCTCAAATCTAATCTAAAATCCTCGACCTTATTTTTGACTTCTTCGATCATGATTTAATACGAAGGACAACCTTTACTAAAAATTACAAAAATACCATTAGAATACCAATAGTCGGTATCGACATCATTTGACAATGATTCGTGTCTTAATTGGGTCAACCCTAATAGACAAGATCTAGCTTTTCTATGGTTGGAAAAACCTTGACTAGTCCTAAAGATATTTCAAGTTTCTAGACTATCTAAATTACCAGTGGGGTAATCAAACCTCTAACCTTATACACTAAAGGTAGGGGAAGGTTATTCCACCATTTTCGATATATAGGGTGAGTTTTAGTCCAAACGAGAGTCCGGAAGAGCATCGGTAGACTTTCGTCATACTCGCCCCCAAATCACTCTACTTAATTCCTATTAGCGTTCAGCTCGAGTTTAGAGCTTTTAAAGGTTTCCTTCGTAGTGTGTACAACGCTTACAAGAAAAAATGTACAACCCAAGTCAAAAATAAACGTCCGGACAAAAAAAATTAAATATATACACGGATAAACTAAACAAAATTCAAAAAATAAAATGACAAAAATAAACATAGGAAATAAATTTAAAACTAGACCTATGGCCTAACTTGAGTCCCCAGTAGAGTCGTCATTCCGTCGCTACCCGATGTCGAAAGGACTCCTCGAAAATATCTAAAATTAGATTGAATATTTACAAGTTTATTTATAGAGTTTGGAGTCGCCCACTAGTATTTGAGGAACTAGGAACCTAAAACGGACATTGGTTCGGAGATTCTATGGTAAGGAGTTGGTTACACTTTTGGGAAGATATCGATCACCCAAAAGCGTCCTTTCCGAAAAAAGGTACCACGTCCGGTTTAGCTCTAAATTTATCCTTTAAAATATTTTATTTACGTCAAATTATTTTTTTTATTTTTAAACTCCCATTTTTTAAACAAATTGAATTTTTTAGTTTTGAGCGTGGCATTGTATTGAAACGATCGTCGATCCCTTTCGTTGGGTGACATGTCGATTCAAACATTGGATCCACTAAAAGCCTTGACACAATTAACGTGTTGGAGGACGTCTTAATTAAAAAGTGATTTTTGGTGACATCGCCTCTATCAAATAGGAGGCTTCGTCGAAAATTTTGAATTTGGTGACGTCGGTCCCTATTAGATAGGAGACTTCATCGAATTTATTTATTATATGTTTTTTTTGTGTAGCGTCGGTCCCTACCAAGTAGGAGGCTTCGCCAAATTTTAGGAATTTTTTTTTATGACATCGGTCCCTATCGGATAGGAGACTTCGTCAAGATTTTTTTTATATAATTTTTCTAGCAATTCATATTAAAGAAAAGACAATAAAAAAAATTGAAATAAAAATTCTAAATTAATAAAAAAACGACAAGAAATAAAAATAAACATGCTAAAAAATAAATGAATAATAGAAGAATAAAAAAAAATCATCATATACCTAAACTATTAACCCATAACTTTTACTCTTTTTTGTTTTTGGGTTTTTGAAAGGTGTGCCACGGGCCGGACCTCCTTTTTTTTGGGGTTCAAAGGGCATGGGTTGGACCGATAAAATTCTAGCCCGTTTTGTTTCCTTTTTTTAAAAAAAAAATTTACGGATCGAGTCGGATCGGGCCCAAATCAGTCCGACCCTTGTTTTTTTACTCGATGGGCTACAAACCAAAAGACAAACCCATTCTCTTAATGTTTCGATCAAACACTTTTTTTTAGTTTCGATTCTTTCTCTCTCTTGTTCTTCACGTTCTTAACTTTCTCTCTCCATTCATCATCATTTCGCGAAATTGAAATTCCATTTTAGATCAAAACAAAACATTTGACTAGCACATCACGCTCAATATATTTACCTCCACTAGAATTAATAATCCAAAGTTTAACAACAACAATCAAATTATTGAAAGTGGGAGGAATGGAAAACTGGAGAGAAAAAAAGAAAAAAAAGTGAACACACCGACCGAGTGGAGGGTTGTTATCTCGCTGAACAAAAGATGGAAATTTGAGGTGGTTTCGGAAGACCCAAAACACTCAAACGAGTTCACCGTTGATAGATTGGAATTTAACAATGGGATGAACACCAAGAAGCAAAACCCAAGCACCAAGAACATTCAACACCGCCCGTAAAATGAAGAACAAATGCCCGAATCTTCAAAGAGAAAACCTATGTATGGACAAATTGAACCCCAAAAATCCAATAAACGAAGTTGAGGAACCAAGTGGATCTTGAATTTTAACCCCAAAAAACCAAACAGAGAACGAAGGGAACGACAGCTTCAATACTCCAAACCTAGAATGCATGAACACCAAGAACGTGAAGAAACCAAACCCGTAAAACCCAACTGCTAAAAGATAAAAAATTTGGTTTTTTGCTTTCGATTTTCACCCTCTCCGAACCCGAATTCCTCTCCCAATCTTCTCATTTTTTATGCGAAATTCAAAACGTTTTATAGCAAAAAATTTTCTAAAATCGAATCTCAAATCCCGAATTCTTTTCTCAAAATTTTCCTCTTTAATTCGTGATTAATGTGAAATCAAAACAGAAATTTGGTCATTGCTTCCTATTAGTGTTGATTTTGGCAACAAATTCATGATTAATATATAATCAAAAACAAGAAATTCGTGGAAGATTTGGGCGATTCTCCTAAAGATTTTCGAAGAGAATTTACCTTGGAGTGAACGACGAGTCGTCTTCTCCATTTCGGTCCTATCGTTCGCTCCAAACTTTCGGCTTGGTCCTCGCGTTTGAATTTCAGCAATTACGCCCTTTGCGAAATAATTTCAGCACAATCTCATCAATTAGGTCTCCGGGAGGTGCAATTTAAGGCCTAATTTTTTTAATTGACTCGATTACTCCCCTAATTACTTCAATTGTGTCCCTAAATGAATTTGTTTTTTTGTGTTTTTCATCATTTTCTTTCTTCTTTTTTTCTCTTTTCTTTTTTCTTTAGTAAACTTCAAATTAAATAAAAACAAAAACAAAAAATAATTATAAAATAATTATAAATAAATAATAAAACATAAAAATAAATAAATAAATAAAACATAAATAATAAATAAAAAAAAGATAAATTTTGGGTTATTACAATGTTTTTAATTTTTCATTTCATTTAATTTTAGTTAGGGATATTCGATCAAGAGAAATTATTTTTTAATAAAAAAGCGATCGAAAAAATAAATTAAAGACTTAAATATTATTTTAAAATATAATAAAAACAATTAGAAATGTGAAAATAAATTTTAGACTCAAATGTATTATATGAACATGTATTTAACCACTTATCCATTATTAAGTGCCTTTTTTTTTCCTAGGAATTCTATCAATCAATAAAAAAATCCTTAATTCCTTGTCAAGAAGTCCGACGAATTATACATCAATATATTAATGAAAAAAGATTCGTCATAGTTAACAACACCCATACGTCCCTCCATTATTTGAATTGACTGGCTAGTTAACAACGCCATATGTCCCTCTAATAAGATGAGATGATTGTGATTGGATAAACCGTCAACCGCAATTCAAAAACAATGCAAATCAAATTCATCTTTATTCAATTTTTTGTCCTTTTATGCCGAGCTTCTAACCTCTTTTGATGTCTTCTATTTTTGCTTCCCTAGTGTACGTCGTGACTTATATGTACGTTAGCTCACATAGACTTTATCAGCTACTTCTCTCGATCTGTTTTATATAAAACAAGTTTTCCCTCCGGCCACTTGTTATATATATATATATATATATATATATATAGTGGATTTACATGTCAAGAATGCTCTCTTTCTTGCAGGAACTGACTTAACTAATGTCAGAATGGTCATGGGAAGGGAAAAGTGGAGCTTCTTTTCTGGTATAACAGTTGGTGTCTTTTTGAGTTTTTCATTAGTTGAAGCCGCCCCGAAAGGTTCACTCATCACAAAATTGCCTGGCTTCAATGGCATTTTCCCATCAAATCACTACTCAGGGCAAGTTAAATTTTTCCTTGATAATTTAATTAAGTTTTTTTTTTTCTTTTCCTCACGTTGTTGTATTCAATTAATTTGTTTAGCAAACCGAAGAAAGCACTTGAGAGGTGTTATTAATGAGTACTACTGTGTGTATATATATATATATATGATGAGTTTTAATAAGAATATTGTTCTTTAAATTTCAACTTGTAGCTATATAAATTTTGCTGAGAAGAATCTTTTCTACTACTTCGTTGTTTCTGAGAGAAATCCATCCAAAGATCCTGTGGTTTTGTGGCTTAACGGTGGACCTGGATGCTCTAGCTTCGACGGCTTCGTTTATGAACACGGTAAGCCTTAATTTGTGTATCAAGTACCAAGTTTATATGTGGATTTATTGGTTTTTGTCTGTTTCATTAATCTTTTATATACTTAATTTCTTGATCGTTTTACACTACTTTATTTATTTATTATTCTTGTAATTTTATACTAGATAACAAGCTAGGTACGTAGTATAGAATATTATGGTCACAAGCCCTTTTGTTTTTCTTTTTCTAATAACATTTTCTTTGAACTTGCAAATCAAGATGAGGACATGGGAATGCACAACAACCACAACTTTTAAAGATTGAGACACCTGATTTTTCAAATTCATTTTCACTGATGTAACACCCAAATTATGAATTTGGACTTTATGACGAATAAACTATTTTTTACTTGATCATGATTAGGCCCAAAAATTGATTGGTTGATACTATATATATATATATAAATATATATATATATATATATATATATATATTGCAATTTTTAACACGTATATATAGTTTCAATGTTACTACCAAACAATTTTACTATAATAAATTGTAATTGAGAAATAAAAAAAATAGTGATAAAGTTATTATAAGAAATAATTTGAATGCAAAATTGATAATAATCTAATAATTTACTGGTATTTTTTATATTTGCCCCTTTTTTAATTGACAAAATTCTATATTTAATTAATTTTTATTATTTTTCATAATTTTTTTATTTAAAAAATATGATTCGTTTGTCTTCATGCATAGATTCTTAAATAAAAATTTATAATAATTTAAACTAAAATATTAATTTAGAATTTAGAAAAGTATTTTTGAAATATATTTTTCATAAGATTGTATCAAAATAAATAAATAAAGCTACAATTAATGTATAGATTTGTATAAAAATTACAAAATGAAAAAAAATATTTTTATTTAGTGCCAACGAGAAAATTATTTTTTGAACGTATATGTATTTGATTTATATATATTTATTCATAAAATAATCAATAATGTTACAATAAAAACATGTATTTAAATCATTTAGGGATTCTTTTAAAAATTATTTTCTTTTAAAAAATTATTTAATTATTTTATTTCTAAGAAATTAGTTTTATAATATTAAAAAATAATAGAAAATGGTTGGTATTATGTGTGTAGATGTATAGTTAATTTTTAATAAAATTGATGAACTAATTTTTTTTATATATATCATAACTATATTTAGTGAGTTGAGAGTGTGCAACATAAAACAAAAAATATCATAAAAATTTGAGATAAATTATTTAAAATATATCTTATATATTTTATCATCGCCGAACTACATGAGAAACATAAAATAAATAAATAAATATTCGATCTTCCATAATTGTTTTCCTATAAAATCCATTAAAAAATCAATTATTGAAAGAAAAAAAGTAGGCTACGGAGCAAGCTTTTGCACTTGGGCTTGGTTCCCAAAAAAAAAAAAAAAAACTAAACGACAAGTCATCTGCTTTTTGGGCAATAAACAAAGTGTCATCTATCTGCAATTTCTAATGAATTGTGGTTAGTCAAAAACATCGTTAGAAAAATGAGTTTTTTTGTTTCGGCCTTCCCGATCCTATTTTTGTCGAAAAACCACTCAAAATTACAGAAATAATAACAACAAACTCATTTAAAATCTCAAAACTTATTTTAATACACACAAAAATTGAAATTAAGATATTTTTGGATCCTAATCTATCTCTTATAATTATTTCATAGCTTATGATTACCATATATGGATTCTACTCTTCAAGATAAATAAATTAATAGGGAGTTCGATGCTCAAAGTGGCCAGAATCAACCTTCTCTCTCTCTCTCTCTTCATTTCTCTCTCCTCCAAGTTGTCGTGAATTAAAATGCAATGCAAATGAAGTTTGAGATTGAAACAAAAAAATGAGGGACCAAAGTGTAGAAATTTTATCATACTTGCTTTAAATAGTAAAATACACAATGTAATTAAGTGCGAGTACACAATACCATAAGTGTGCTTGAACAATAAAACAAATAGTGTTTTAGTTTTATTAGTAATTAGTAATAAGCCACTTTAGTCTTGGCTTCAAGTTGATTGGTCCACAAATCCTTGGAAAGAAAAAAAATGCTAAACTATCACTACAAGTTTTTGTCTCCCAACTTAATTAAACATGTCAGAAAAAATTAGTAAAATACTTTCTAAATGGTTTAAATTTCCTTTAATATATTTGTACTAAGAACCTATCAATACTTAAATCTAACTTTATTGTTCTATTTATGAGATTGAAAAAAAAAATTCTAAAAAAATGAGGGATCAAAGTGTAGAAATTTTAGCATACTTGCTTTAAATAGTAAAATACACAGTGTAATTGAGTGCGAGTAAACAGTACCATAATGTGCTTGAATAGTAAAACAAATAGTGTTTTAATTTTATTAGCAATTAGTAATAAGCCACTTTAGTCTTGGCTTCAAGTTGATTGGTCCACAAATCCTTGGAAAGAAAAAAAAATGCTAAACTATCACTGCAAGTTTTTGTCTCCCAACTTAATTAAACATGTCAGAAAAAATTAGCTAAATACTTTCTCAATGGTTTAAATTTCCTTTAATATATTTGTAATAATAACCTATCAATACTTAAATCTAACTTTATTGTTCTATTTATGAGATTTAAAAATCAAGTTGTGGTTTTATATACCAATGGAATTTTCACGGGGTACGTAAAGAATACATTAGTTTATCTTGAGATTCACATTTGCATATTCCGTATAGATGATCTAATTTGTATGGATTAATTTAAATGGTCTAATTTTTTTAAAAAATTTAAGTCACTTGAGAATTAATATTTCAATTTATAGTTTCAGATTGAACTTCTCTCTAATTATTTTTTATTTAAAATTTGCTCATTTTTAGGTTTTCATCGATTCTAACGATAGAAGTATACGTTACTTATACATGATTGGCATTTTAACTTTTGTAATAACTAAAAATGTATCAAAACTTATGAATGTTATGTTTGTTTACTTCAAAACTATTTTTTTCCCTAAAATGTCCTTTAATTGTTTACTTCTTTACATGTAAGAAGAAAAAAAATTAGAAAGAAAAACAAAGCATTTATAAATTTGCTAATAGAAATACTTATTTGATTTTATAAATTTTGAAGAAACCATAATAGAGAGTAAGACGCCGAAACAATTTATGTGATAGAGTAGATAGATGACATTAACATCACATACTACAACAAATTAAAATAAAAAATGAAGAATATCATTTATTTGGTTAAAAAATAAAAAATAAATAGAAAGAAGCAGAGATTGGCACTTCTGGAAAAATCAACACGACAATATCGCATACTATATAGTAAGACAGAGTAGAAATTTTGTTTATTTATATGGGAGCTAGTATGCGTTACTTGAGAGAGCAAGTTATTTATTATTTATTTATTTTTGTTCCATAAAAATTAAACTTACATTTATTGTAACCTCAAAAACCCTCCACATACATTCCCTCATTTAATTATAAAATTAATCACTTAAAAATGGAAAATACACAAATTAATCCTACATGGGAGAAAGATAAACCACCTAATTGTTTTGTCCTTAATTTTTATTGTATAGCTAATCATTGTTCTTCCTCATAGTGGGAGCCTACCTGTAAGTTAATTAGAACAGATAATTAAATGTTACACAAAATATTATAGAAACATAAATTAGATCTTTAACATGTATACCATCAAAACTCTTGAAAGTAACTTCTAATATAAAAATAATTTTTAAAAAGTTAAGATATAGATTGAAACCTCAAAATGCAAGGATTAAAAAAAAAAAAAAAAAAAAAACTTTGGTGAGAGAGAAAACGTTAAAAATTGTATTAATTTTTCTTTATTAACTACCTAAATCTCAAAACATTGAAACTCCCATAATTTAGTTTGGAGACAACACAAACACAATGGAGTAACCATACCTTTTCTGCTTTTTATTGTTGCACTTTTATATAGAATTGAACATGAACGTAACCAAATATTTTTTTTCCTTAGAAGATAGTTCAAATTTGAGAAAATAAAAGAGACTTAACTTATAACTTTAATTTAATGTTTATGATAAACCATAAGATCGAAATCAACAAAGTTGCAATTAGAGAGAAGCGAGAAATACCATTATTTATTTTTCCTTTTCTTCCCATCTTAAATTATTGTAAATAATTTTAGTTAATCATTTTACATATAAAATGTTTGATTTTTGAAAAAGAAAAAAAGAAGAAGACCGAGCCTATAACACATAAATTCTCTAAATACTCCTTAAAATCCACCTTAAGAAGCCTTTTTTCTATATCTTTTTCTTTAGTCTCCAAATGAAACTATTCTATTCTAAAAAAAAAAAAAATCATCCATATCCAATCATTATCATAATGTTAAATCCACCCATACAAATGTATAAATTTAGTAATATTACGTGACTTAACAATAAAGATTACCTAATGACGTTCTTACTTTTCATTATGTATATAGATTTAGATTTAGATATAAACAACAACAACAATAACAAGATATGAAGTGCATTCTATTGTTAAAATAAAAAAGTCAAAATATCACCTTGAAATCATAGAATTCTATGATACCGATCATATGTTATTGTCAAAAAAATATTTCAATCTAAAAATTTAAACTTTTAAGTGAAGTCTTATGAATGGTGTTATATGACTCTCTAAAACACTCGGTCAACCTAAAATTTTACCTTAAACTTGTAAAAGTTCACACTATCTTGTGCTTAATTAGTTGAAAGAGAAATGAAGATTGTAAGATTTAAACTCTTGATTACTTAATCATCAAAACTTCATATCATATCAAAGAATTATCCGAACCTAAAAACTTAAGTTTTGAAATGAGGTTTCAAAAATTGTTTTATATGGCTCTCTAACGAGTTATTCCCTCGATCGATGCCTTCGGTCATCAATGTTCAAATAATTTCTTTATGAGTTTGATGGATAATCCATACAAAATTACTTAAAAAGAATTAAATTTTTTTATTATCTACAACTATAAGCAAACATGTTCACTACCGATGCAATAAAAGTACCTTTTTTTTCAATTTTGTGAATATATTATGTGGCGCGCCCCACCCCTACGCGCAATATATTTTTCAATTTTCTCATATAATTGATTGCTAACTCTGTTCTTGGTTGTATATGCAATATATAGTGTGCACAATAGCCTTGGTTGAAAAGCTTGAATTGATGACATATGCTTTTTTGAGAACTTCATATTGATCTCTTGAAATTATTAATTTGTACAAGTCAACTAGCTTCTTCTAATTTTTAAACTACTTCTTAACCCATTTTAAATCCCCATTAATTGTGTCATAAATTTTCAATTGGGTCTCCATTCATATTTGTTAAAATTTTCTATTTAAATTGTTTGTTTTAAATAAATTGCTTCATGATGGAAAAGTGAGAAGCATTTGCTTAGCTAACTTATTTTGTTTAATTTAGTTTGATTCCATTTGAATCTATATATGCAGGACCATTCAATTTTGAAGAAGGAAAGCCTAAAGGAAGTCTACCAATATTGCATCTCAATCCATATAGTTGGTCCAAGGTCATAAGTACTTTTATTGTAATTCTATTGAATGAATTCTTTCGTTCTTTGCATTTGGTTTCTTTTTTCTTTGATCATTCACTTCATCTTATATATACATATATCCTTACCTATGATTTTTTTTGTCATCATTTTTTAATAGGTTTCAAACATTATTTATTTGGATTCTCCTTGTGGGGTTGGCATGTCTTATTCGAAAAACCAAAGCAAATACGTAACCGATGACCTACAAACAGCTGCTGATACGCATAATTTTCTCCTTGAGGTAATTTAAGTTCAATAATGATATGAAAATAACAACATTAAAGATCAGTAAGGAAAACAAAGAAATTGGTTTTATGGGGAGATTATCCCCCTCACTTATCTCTTCATTCATGACATGACTGGGCTATATTCTCTCCCAACTTCAAATTTCTGGTCATACTCTGAAAAATAAAACTATTATATATGAATTCTCTCTTTCAAGCTTGAATAACCTATTTTTAACATTATCAGAGAGGTACGTAGACTCTGTATTAAGTATAAGAAAATCAAATGAATAGAAATAAATAGAACCCCAGTTGATCAATATTCCAATACCTTTTTTATTTCTCTAAAATAGGATTTGATGCAAATTATCATCCGAAATGTATTATAATTTTAGAGATAATTAAAGGTTTCAATATTTTACTATTAATTTGACCCACATTTTACCATTTATCAATTGACCCAAATTTTGTATAAAAAGCTATGTAATTATTTTTTTTTTCATTTTTAAAATCCGTTTGTTTTGCAATATAGTGGTTTCAACTATATCCAGAATTTGTTAGCAATCCATTTTATATCGCGGGAGAGTCTTATGCTGGAATTTACGTCCCTACTCTTGCTGCCGAAGTGGTGAAAGGTATGCAAGCCATTTCAATAGTATTTACACATGATATAACAAATATCTGTAATATGGTTGCTAGTTTATATATATATATATAATTTTACATACAATTTTGCATTCTCTTAATTGCAGGAATAAGGGCTGGTCAAAACCCTATTATCAACTTCAAGGTAATATAAATATGCCATGAGACAACAAGATCTATTTCAAATAATTTAGGCAAATATGGTGAAACTACTACTCATAGATCTAGTCAATTTATACAGGGCTACCTGGTAGGCAATGGAGTAAGTGGCAGTATACATGATGGGTGGAATGCTTTTGTCGCTTTTACACATGGGATGGGTCTTATCTCGGATGACATATTTGAGGCAAGAAAATTATATTTAATGTCATAGACACATGAAATTGATATATATATATATATATATGCTTAAATTTAAATAACAGTAATTTAATTATATGTTATTTTTTCTCACACGTGATCTTGACCATGCAATTCAATATTATAATCAGAATTATAAACATAATGGGTCATGCGTCCTTCCGAACACAAGAGAATTGAAACCTAATCGTCTCAATTATATCCAAGGACTTGTTCAAATTATTTTTGGTTTTCCAAAGTCGTTCTTGATTAATTCAGCTGATGGAAACTCTTGCAGGAAGTTCAACGTAGTTGCAAAGGAAATTATCAAAACCGTAGCAAGAATTGCAATAACAGTATTGATAAGATAGACCAAGTAAGATGATGCTTTCTTAGAATTTTGTTAGTTACGATTTCAATATCTCAAGCAAATGGATCAAATTTTGGTGCTTTTGATTTCTTCTTAGGCGATCTCGGGGCTAAACGTTTACGACATCCTTGAGCCATGCTACCATGATCCAGCATCCGATAAACATGCCAAAGGAAACACAAGTTCAAATTTGCCGACTAGCTTCCAGCAATTAGGGGTAACGGACAGGCCTCTCAAGGTGAGAAAGAGAATGTTTGGCCGTGCTTGGCCATTTTGGGCATATGAAAAGGACGGTAACTTCCCAATGTGGTCGGAAATTGCACTGGACAGAAGAGTTCCGTGTATTGTAAGTTATTCAAACCTCTTTTAGTGATCCATAAAAATTAAGCATCTTGTAATTTGTTCTCACTAATTGTCCCCTATATATATATATATATATATATATATATAACAGAATGATGAAGTTGCAACTATATGGCTCAATGATGAATCAGTTAGGAAAGCAATTCATGCCGAGGCAGTAAGTAGTCAAAATTAATTATATATGATCTTGTTTTGAAAATCTTGTTAATTATAAGACGTGCATCTACATTTAAATTAATCAAACATTCTGCTTATTTACAATGATAGAAATCCATTGCTGGTCCTTGGGAGCTATGCTCTGGTAGGATAGATTATGGATTCGGTGCAGGAACTATGCTTCCATATCATCAAAATCTAACTACCCAAGGATATCGAGCCCTTATTTATAGGTATTGCAGTCTTTAATTTCGTTTTTTTTTTCCCCTCTTGATAAATATTAATTTCTTTAAGCTTGGTAAAAGCTACTTCAGAGAAAGTCTAATAAATGTAAGACATATATGTTCCTTTGAGGTTAAATATTTTTATGAGTGTAGTGTGTGTGTATATATATATATATATAGTGTTGGTCATGAGTTTTATAAAACTATTTTGGTATTTTATCCAACTTAAATTTTTTCATTAAAATAATTTTTTAATAAAATGTCAAATTAAATCTTATGATCAATTGCTCTTGAGTTCGGATCTTTCTGCTCTCATTCTATTTTTAATTAAAATTAAATCATCACATATTACGAGTCTTTCTAATTTTTAAGCTTAAATTGTTAGAAAATATAGAGAAGCATGGTGGAAGATATATATTAGATGATGTTACTATTCGAAAAACCCACTTTGCATTATTCTATATTTAAAATTATTTCCAACATAAGATTCTTTCACTTAGAAATACAAAAAAAACCTTCCTGGATTTCGGTGATTAGTCCGATTAAACTTTATAAACATTCTAGGATCAAGTTCTTTTGTTCCTGGAATCCTTGTCTTTTTCCTTTTGTTTTCACAATTTCGGGGAAAAAAATAGAGGCAGACTAAATGAAAGTAATTTTTTTATTTTTATTTGAGAAAATCTAATTTTTATTTATTTTACATACAGTGGAGACCATGATATGTGCGTGCCATTCACCGGTACGCAGGCATGGACAAGGTCACTTGGACACAAGATAATAGATGAATGGAGGGCGTGGATATCTGACGACCAAGTTGCCGGGTAAATTATTATCAAATCTATACTACACAAAATCTTGGAAAACTTAGCAACTTCACGCTACATATATACCGTATTTTTCTGGATGAACAAGTTGCGAGAAGTTTGCCTTGAAAATTCACTCTTTATTAATTTTTCTCACTCATAAACATGTACTACCTTCCTTAACCATAGATATATTTTTTTACGTGTGTAACTAATAGTCGTTACTCATGGCTAATTTCATTTTTACTGTTATAGATACTTGCAAGGATATGATCAGAACCTGATCTTTTTGACCATCAAGGTATGAAAATCACATTATTATACATGTTTGTAATAGCTATTATATAAATAATTATGTTCGAAATGCACATCAATCACTTCACAGTTATGAGTTGCCATATTTTCGGCATTTACTAAAAACCTATTGGCACCCCATGACATCTATTTACCAATAACATTTTATATTTCTTGCAAAGTATCCCAAGTGGTGGTTGACTAGAGTATTATTAAGAGGTGTATTCTGGAATATTTTCTATGATACAGATACCAAATGTAGTCTTACTTTATACATTGAACATTTGAACATTACTATAAAGCAACCAAAATACTAACAGTTTGGATTTATAAATTGATGTCTTGTGGAAGGGCATGAGAAGAAAATTTGCAATTTAAAGGACTTGTATTAACATATTGAACTAGTTTTTGATATACATATATAGCATATTTCAACAATAATTTTGGGGAAAAAAAAACCATCAATGCATCCTTATATATTGCATTATTTATCAATCATACCATTTTATTAAAAAAATAAAACCAATAATAGCGACCTTTAGTTTGTTTTTATTCTTTAATACCCAACGTCAATTATTTCATTAAAAGTAACGGTCATGCACATAGAATATGATAATTTCAATATGAATCAATGAAATTACTTCTTTAAGTAAATATAAATCATTTATATATATATATCATTCATGTGCACAGCACAACATAATTCTAATATGCAACTAAGTTTACCTAGGTTCGAGTACATGTACAAACTTTTTTTCTTTCCGTATTCTATTGATATAAAGAAGTATTTCGTTAATTCATATTAAAATTACTCACGTGTGGCGAACATGACTGTCAATTTTCAAGAAATTAATTGTTAGAAGGATATATTAGTGAATAAAAATAAAATAAAAATTACAATTGATTGATTCTTTTACCGAAGGGTATGGCTGAGAAATAGTATAATATATATATATATATATATATATATATATATATATAACATATTAATAGGTTTTTTAAAAAGTTTGACAAATAACCAAGTGTCAATTCCTTGGTATTTTCAATCATAATTACAAAACTTGGGTATACTTTTAGTAATTAATATGTCGAATCTATTTTTAAGAAAATAATAGAATTGAAATATGGTTAATTATAACCTTATAGCCTATGTTTACAAAAGAAGTTTGTATAGCTCTATTTAAGTCGTGTAATGCGAAACCATGTGAAAGACTACCAATTAAATTATTTTCTTCTAACAACCAATTTCTTTACACAGGGTGCAGGGCATACAGTTCCTGAATACAAACCAAGGGAGTCGTTGGATTTTTATAGCCGTTGGTTGGATGGGAAGCAAATATAAAGATTGAGATTTGGGGGAATGAATAACTAAGGTTTCAATTCATACACATCCTGATTTTTTGCTATCTTCTCTGATATAGTGAAAGGAACTTTTGTTTATTTATCCGTGAAAAAAAAATTGAAAGAAAACTTATTCAATAAGGATTTCATTTGTTGTGTGACAAATTCATACAATAAACATATATCAACCATCACAAACAATAAACTATCTTGCAATAAACATATGCATGGGTCTATGTATATTTGTATTGGAATCACTTCGACTTTAATTCTAATTGGCAACGCTATTAGTTATTAAACTACTTGTATTTTCACATTTTTCTTGCAACATAATTTAACTTATGGTGTAGCAGTAAGCAGTTATCTTCATTTTGTCAACATCAATATTCAATTCTCATAATATATGGATAACTAATTATAATTATTTTTAAGTAGTATTAGGCTTAGGCTAATTTAATCTAAGAAAAAGTTCGATAATCGATCAAAAGTTAAATATGTTCGACATTAGTTTAATCTAAAAAATTATGAATTTAATCTCGATTAATGTAAAAACTTATTCAAGAATAACACACAACCTATAAATATCAAGATCGGTTATAAAAAAAACACACAATTTAACTTTGGTTACAAATATATATTTTTTTAGTATACTATACTAGTTGCAATAGTTGTTGTTTAATCTTTATCAAAACAAACTTTGATATCCATATAGGAATATTTTCTCCATCATTTTTTTTTCCTCTTGATTGGAGTTGAGTATTGCTTATATTCCAAGGCTCTAAGAAAAATGGGTATTTTTCTCTAGTTGGATAAAGCCAAAATATTGGTACCAAAGACAATCCAATTAATATGGTCTTTTTGGTGATCCGTACTACTAGTATCTACTGAGGCTATGCTATATGTTGATGTATTTTGTTACTCTGCATGTAAATAGACAATTCACTACGTGCCATGAAGTTTTGGTATTGCTTGAGATTACGGTTGGTATTTTTCCAAAATATTTTGTATTTTGTTACTCCGTACATTTATGATTATTGTCGCTACCCGACGTTGGACAGGACTCCTCGAAAATATCTAAAATTAGATATTTATTTATAAGTTTATTTACGAGTTTGGAGTCGCCACCTAGTATTGAAGGAACTAGAAACCTAAAACGAACACTCGGTTCGGAGATTCTATGGTAAGGAGTTGGTTAAATTTTTGGAAAGATATCGATCACCCAAAAGCGCCCTTTCCGAAAAAAGATACCACGTCCGGTTTAGCTCTAAATTTATCTCCTAAAATATTTTATTTATGTCAAATTATTTTTTGATTTTTTAAACTCCCATTTTTTAAACAAATTGATTTTTTAGTTTTGGGCGTGGTATCATATTGAAACGATCGTCGGTCCCCTTCATTGGGTGACACGTCGATTCAAACATCGGATTCACTAAAAGCCTTGACGCAACCGACGTGTCGGAGGACATCTTAAAAGGTGATTTTTAGTGACGTCGGCCCTTATCAAATAGGAGGCTTCGTCAAAAATTTTTAAGCATTTTTTTTTATGATCTCGGTCCCTATCGGATAGGAGACTTCGTTAAGATTTTTTTTATTTTTTTCTAACAATACATATTAAAGAAAATAAAATAAAAAAATTGAATTAACAATTCTAAATTAATATGAAAAAAACGACAATGAATAAAAATATACAACTAAAAAAATAAATAAATAATAAAAGAAAAGGAAAGAAAAAAAAATCATCATATACCTAAACCATTAACCCACCACTTTTACTCTTTTTTTTTTTTTTTTTTTGTGATGGTAGATGACATGAAATTTACTTATTCAATTGAACTAAAGCCTAAGATCTAAACTAGAATACAAATTAACAACAATTCAAGTAACTAATTAAAGGGTTTGCGAAGCAAAAATACAAAAAATAGAGACTGACAAAATTTAAATCAAACCCGAGCAAACTTGTGGCTTGGGTGAAGATGTTGAAATTTCTTAATGACTTTGATGAATGTGGATGTTTGAGTAGTACTCAAGATTCAGTGAATTAAGCCTTGTAAAAGTCGGGGATAACGGGAAGTAATCTTAGCCGATGAGCACACCAAGACAACGAAGAACGAAACCCAAAAAAAATGCAGTGACTAAAAAATAAAAAAAATTAAGCCTTTTGCTTTTGATTTTCAATCCCTCTCAACCCCGAATCCTTCCTCCCTCCTCTCTTATTTTTTTTCTTCTCCTGGCCAATTGAATTTCGAGTTTGATTGAACGTTCGTTTGCTTTTTTGTTTTGTTTTTTTTTAGTTGAAATTGACAATAATCTTACCCGAGAGAAACATAGGTCATCCCGCCTTGTCGGTACTCAATCCCCCATTTGCCTCATTTCGTAAATCTATGCTCGGATTGTATCTCGTAGTACCGTCAAGATTTCCTTGCCCCCAAGGCTTGGACCACTATTCATAGTGAACTTGAGTCCTTTCACTCTCTCTGTTTTTTTTTAAACCAATTGGTCTTTGCTGGAAAGTGATAAACTACCACATGTTTTAATCCATCCTTATAAAATCATACTCGATTGCTTTGACCACTTGCCAAATTTTAATCGAGTCATTGCCCTCTCTTAGGGCCGCTCTTTACCCCCGGCTTGATCGCTTTGATTGCTTTGATTTGAGCACAAAAGCATACTATTCGGATCGCTATTCCTCTAGTTAGCATAGCATAGTGATGCCGATGTATCGATAAGTTATTGAACTCAATTAAAGTTTCTAGACTCTTGATCTTGCCCCCAAGTATTCTCAATGAAGTGTCATTCAGTTGGGCTACGAAATGCCTCCAAGTGTTGGTTGAGACCAAACACTTATCATTTTCTTGACATAATCACCGCTTGTGTTCAAATGCTTGTTTATTGATGCTTTGATCACAATTTGCAAATTGATCTTAAAATTTATGTGAGAAAATCATCAAGCTCAAAGTGGGACGACGAATGATAAAATTTATGTGAGACATATGAAAGATGGCCTTTTCTCATCTCAAAGATTGATTCACCTATGTCGTTACACACTAATCTCTTTTGAACGACGATGATTAATTATGAATGATGTTCATCACTATTTAAGGGACCAATCATTGAGTCTTTCCTTTGGGCTTCACTATGTTTTCTTAGGCAACAATTTTCCTTCAAAGGTTAAGTTTGAGAAAGGATAAAGAATTTCTTTTTTCTTTTTTTTTTTTACAAAATGGAGGATTTCGCTCATTACTTTCTCGCTCGTAAAGGCTATCGGGAGGATATATCTTTGAAGAAATTATCTATAGCATATATTTGTCACGTTTTGAAATTTGATTATTTTTTTGTAAAAATTTCTTTGAATGAATTTGCCATAATGCTTCTTTAATGGAGAAAGAT